TGCAAATGTTTGACCAAGGCCTATACATATGCATTTGCTCACACGCATGCAGGCCCTTGCCTAACAAATGACCTTATGTTGAGTGATCTTAGAAGATAATTGGAACTCGTGCATCAGCGTACCAGGATACTTTGCATAGAGATTCTATAGTTTACTTCAAGGTAGCCTTTGGTTTCAAATCTTGATACAATACCAATATCTATCCATCCATTTTCTATATTGCCTGCCCAGGATGGAGTCACAGTAAGTCTCAGAACCAAAAACGAAAACAAAGGGGAGATTTTCTATACAGCAGGAGTGGAGACCGTCTGGTCTTTGGGCTACATGCAACCCGCAAGATGGTAACATCCAGCCCATGAGGCATTTCATAAATACAAAAAGCAACTTAAAAAATATAAAAAATAAATATATAAAGCCATAATGGGACCAAGCACACTATCAGGGTCTAGTTACCATGGAAACAACTTCATGTCATTCTGTCAGGGGTATGGCTATAAGCCTTCATAGCAAATTTCATGTCAATTGACCAAAGATTGGCCAACATATGAGCTAACTTTCTGCTTGGTGACCTCATTGCCAAATTTGATAGGCTGTAATGGATGAATAGTTTTGAAAATAAAAAATCTGACTTATTGGAAAGCTTTGTAAAGGTTATTTGCCACTAAATAAGACTGTCATTAGGCAGCAGTAGTTCTTTATAGTATTTTGGAGGAGAGTGGCAGGAGTTAGAGATTAGCTGGTAGTTGTTTAGGTCAATTGGGTCCAGACCAGGGGTCTCATTTATCAACTGTGCGTACAAACAGTTTTGTGTGTGAATCAAGTGTATGCACATTTTTACACATAGAATTGCATTTATCAGTTTCTTCCTCTATATACAAATATGCGTATATTTACAAACACTCTCGATTTTGCGTACGCACAAGCCCCTAGCGGCAAAGGAGTGTAACTAAAACAATCCGATTGGTACATAGGATGTGCCCACGGATTTATCAACCTTGGCAGATTGACAAAAGGATTGATCTAGTTATGTTCACACAAAGTATGTGCAGGCAGGTCATGCTTGCAACAAGGAATTGTTCTAAAGTCATATGAGGTCCATGGTTAAAGAATTAATATATCACCCTCACTAAATACAGTTTTATGGTGAGTTACACCTGATCAACTAATGTCTGATCAATTTTGCGTCTAAGGTCCGTAGAAAATGATATACACTGATCAAAAGACTCCTGAAAGTGGATGCAGTAGGACTTTAGTGGGTGTATGGCTTAGTGTTACAGGTGTAGGAGAATGGGCAGTGCTTCCAGTCGAATAACGACCCATGATCCATATCTAACTTGTAATACAGTATGTATATAGTAATGCATATTTGACGGAAAGCTACAATAAGCAGATAATGCAGTACCGATACTGTGCTATTTCATTACATTAAAAGAAACTTACTGTACTGTACGATAAAATAATTATAGTAATAAATACAATAAAATATCTCACCGCAGCTTCAGGCGCTGCCTTCTTTCTCAGTTACCATTATTTGTACTGCGTGCACTTTTTCATTTTGTAGTGCAATTCACCGTATTTTGAAGTGAAATCTCCTTTTTATTATAAAGTGTTGTGATTTTGCATTTACATTTTTTGCTGTAGAGTACTGTGTGTATATTGCACGGCATTATCTGCACGTGTTACCTGTCCCCATGCCAGGTCTTTCTCTTTCTTTGACGGGCCTGTCGTGCCCTGCCTGCCTGGCTGCCTGCCTTTCCCTCTCATTCTCTCCCTAGTGTGGGTCTAACAAGCCACAACTGTTGCTTGCTTTGTCTTACTTCTCGATCCATCCCTCATGTAGATCACTCCGGTTGCCTCTTGTTTGCTCCTTCATCAGTTGTGTTATAAAGTGCCTCCCAGTCATGTACTCCCCAGTCTGGTCATTGATGTTGCTACCTGCTTGTGCTCAGAGTTTCTCCCGTGCTGTCCGCCCTATCCGATCCTTGTCTCCCTGCTTTGACCCCTCAAAATGGTCTTTCAAATATTTTCCTATTATACAGACAGTCCCCAGGTTACGAACGTGATCCATTCCCTAAGTCTGTTTTCAAGTTAGGTTTTTAGGCAAACCAGAACAACAATAATACAGTACATAATAATAGTCATAAGAAAATAATAATAGTAATAATACTACAGTAATAAGAAGTAACAATGTGGGGACTATCCACATGGGGACTGTCCATTCATTTATATGCAAATAACCCTAATCCCAACAATGACAACCCTAACCCTACCCAGCCCAAACCTGAACCCTAACCTAATGATTGCATTCACAGATTTTTTTTCATAAAATTGAGTTTCCCCTCGTGGGAACTTAAAAAAAATGGTTGCCACAATGTGAAATTAACAGGTTTAATGGGCCTGTGTGAGGAATATGTCTATACCAACAACTGAATATTTCACTCGAGCAAATCAGGGAACTTACTGAGACTTGAACTGATGAACTTACGGTAATGAATCCATAGCCTTAAGCACTAGGCCACCTAGTGGTGGAACGGGAATTCGATTTCATTTAGTGGCTTGCAATACACACAGGACATGAATCAATGTGACCCTGGGCTCTTACAGACTGGGCTTCCTTATCCTCAATGGGAAATATTTCCTCCAGCTTCCTTATCTTGGGAGCGCACAGGCGTAGGGTCTACAGTGCTCTCCCAGCTTTGTGCATCGTACGGCCTATCAGGAGACACACGTCACCGATCCGGCTCCGTGGAAACGGGTGTGGGGTTTGCAGTGCGATAACGGGGTGGGGGGGTGAGGAGTCACTGGGCCTAGTCGCTGTCAGTGGGGAACCTCTACATGCCTACATTTCCTCCTCATAGATACGGAGCGACTGGCATCAGCTTTCTGAAATAATGGAAAAATGGCAGCAGCAGTGAATTTGGCCGGAATCATTGTGGCACAGAGCTGCACTAGCCACTGGTGAATTTGCAAACGGAAAACCAAAATTTCCCAAATTCTTGCCAGCCAGTGTCTGTTCTATATTTATTAAACTGCATAGGTAACTATGTAAATATTATAACTGTATAAAAGGCACTGCTGATGTAAACAATTATCTGATGTTATTAACGTTTTAATTTTTCCATGTATTCTTATAGCTGCAATAATTACAATTTATAATAATAAAAATTATTATTATTGAATATAATATGTGTATAAGCACATCTGTACATTATTAGGTTTCTTTTCAGAGTGTTTTAAATGAGCAGCAATCGTCTTGCTTTGCTGGATTCTTACCAGCAGATAGTGCTGTTGTTCTCTTATAAAACTGAAGTTTAAATTATTTCTATGACGGCAGGCGCTGGTGCCGTATGTTCTGTTTTTTCAAGTGTCCCTGACGTCTTAAAGATATTCTCCAAGCATAAAACGTATTTTACATATAAATACAAATGTATAATTCCATGTAATTATTTATTTAAGTGGAAATGTATTTGTACTGAAGGCTAGCAAAGATATGCAATACTCATTCTCAACAGATATCCATGCCACTGGTTTTTGTAAATTGCACTAAACATGCTCATGGAAGGAGACATTACGATAAAGCACAAACTTCCCATACAGCAACAAAATCGATGGCTAAAAGCCACTTCTCTAAATAAAAGCGATAAATTTATTTTGATGTCTAAGTAACTAGGCCTCCGAAACTGTGAAATCCTATTATAGAAAGACAGCTGATAGTTTGCTTTAATCGATGCAGTAAAGTTCAGTAAATGATTACCTTCTGACTGAGCAACTTTTAAAAATACCCTTGTGAAGGGCACCTAAACACTAACTCCTACAATTGGTTGTAGTTGAAAACAGTTATAGAGAAATTGAGACATAAAAAATGGACAGACAAAGTAAAAGAGGCCATTGAGAGCCAGGTTGGCACTTAATCTCTTTTATTGCTGGGCTCACAACAGGACAGTGAACAGTGGGGGGAAGGGGGAAGGGGGGGGGGCATCAGCCACTTAACTGATGTATCTCCTGTGATTTGCAATAAACTGTCATTCAGCTTGGCCAACAGACAGCAACAACTTTGTTCCCAATGTTTCTTTTAATTACTGTTTACTCATTAAAGTAATTTACACAGCAGAGTTGTTTAAGGAGCTGCATCACTGCTTGGGAAGTCCTGGAAGAGGGTGTCTGCAGACCTGTAAAATGCTTTGTTTGATCCACGTGCGTACCACCTGCCGTAGGGCAGCTTATTTAATGTGTTAATGTCCGATGTCATTTTATGTCAAGTCATCGCTTTGCAGTGCACTGCTTCCCAGTGTCTATTAAATGCCCGGAAGCTTCTGACATCCTGGAAGATCAGAGGCAGGAGCTGCGTTTATTAGACCCTGATCTTTTGTTTTTGTGCGCTGGATGTCCTTTGAAAAAGGGCGTGTCTTGTGTTTAATCAGCTGTAATGGATCATTTCGCAGCAGGGCAAGAGTGCAGCAGAATTAAGGGCGGGAAGGTGGGGACTTTCTCTCTCTCTCATCATCACTATCTCTTTCTCTCCTAATCCCCCGCCGTGAGGGATAGAGAGGTCAAGGTCTGTTCACCCGTCACCAGGAGTGTCTAACCCAGAATTATCGAGCGGTTCTCAGTCCATTGCGCTACAGAGGAAAGCTGTTATTTACAACACACAGGCTTGTGAGAAGGAGATGGTGACAGTTATACAAAATCCTGAAAAAAGACAGTAGATACCAAACTATATGGCAAACTATAAGTAGGAAACAGTAGTGAAAAGCAAAAATGCAGTTTACTAGCATATGCTGCAATAATGAAATAAAAGAGTCAATGATGTTGTGTTTTGGCACCTAGACATGCAATAAAAAAAATTAAATTCCTTTGTGAACTGTATGGAGTGTAAAACAAAGGTGTTCGTTCCAGGTGGAATAAGCATTAAACATACCACAGAGCCATTTACAACAATCCATTCTCAATCCTCTTGTGATCACTTCCTTGTTCCTACCGATGCTGATGGGCTTGGAGGAGTGAAAAGCAATCACTGCACATTGTGAGAAATGGTGACATTTAGGGTTTGCGCAGGAGATTGGTCGGCCTCTGCTCTGCGTCCTCGTACCTACTCAGAGTGGGAGAAGTGCAAATACAAAAATACACATTTCATCTATGTAATTACATAAAGTCCGGATAAAGTCCTGATTAACAATTAATGTTAATTGGCAACCCACTGCATTTTCTCCTTAAAGATGATTGCAGTAAAATGCATACACAGACTCGCTGCCTGCTTTATGAAGACACTCAGCATTTTGAAACATCACAATGAAGTGATTCTTATTATGACAAATACCGGCAAAGACTGTCACTCATCCTGAATGTATAGAACGATTTGAAAGGCATCTCTTTGTAAACCCTGGGAATGCTCTGTAGGGCGTGAATATTACAAGCTTATGGAAAGACTTGGTTACAGCTATAAGGTTATACTTGTGTCAGATATTCCGGCATTCCTCTATATCAGAGTGCTGAATGGGGTGGTAGAGTCATGGAATATAATTCAAATGTTACCTGTTATTTGTCAACAAGATGCCTTTGCAAACATTGGCTGAAAGTCTTTATAGCTCCATCGGCTTGAATTTTCTCACTGGAAGATGGGAAGACAAACACGCATGAGAGAGCGATCCTCTATGGCATGGAGTTAGTAAGGGATCATACATAAGCCATTGTCGTCTTATTTATGGTGACACAAACTTTTATCGTCTCACTGAAACTGTTTGATCACACTGCCATGACGCCGTGTATGGGTTTGCGGATGAGAACTCTGTGCCACTGCTCAGAAGGTCACTGGGAGAGTAATGTCACCCTGAGCAGAGGCTTTAACCCCAAATTCTCTGGGGGGGGTTAGTGACCCTGCTCTCTGAACCTCACTTGAATGTTTTTATGTACAAAAGTGGATGATACTTTACTTGGCACAAATAATACAGCATTATGCTCTAACTTATGTAACAATTAACCACAGTCTAAGTCTTTGTTACATACTGGTCTCATGCTCATTCATCATTAAAGTATTGTGACGCATCTTTTATCTCAAGCAGTTAATATATTTGTTACTGTATCTGTTAATTCTGATAATCTTTGTGAACTACTGAAGGGACTACTGAAGAAACAAGTCATGAATAACACAAGTGAAGTACTGATCTTCTGTTTGTTCATCAATAATGAATCATGACGCATCTTTTATCTCAAGCAGCTACTGTATTTGTTCATGATTTGTATTTCAGTAGCATCTAAGTATTCGTATCCCCTCAAGTAATGTATTACGCAAAAGCGGCCGTCAGTGAAAGCAATGTGAAATTGTATCTGTTACTGGTCAAGTTGTGAGATTGGGGTCCTTTGCTGTTCGCTGTTAGTTGCTACACTCCAGTTCGGTAAGAGTTTGGCACAAACCTACTGTAACGACTTTCAAGTGAATATAGCAGCAAAAAAAAAACATTTCACAGGTAGCAGCATAACATGAAATGATAAGAAACCACAATCCCACAATTAAGGTCAGATACCACTGGCCAGTGATGGAGTATTAAGGACATTGTGGTTATAAATCCCCCGAAACCATCAGCACAGGGAGTGAAGCAGCGAGCAGTCATGGTCTTGCCTGAAGTACAAATCAATATTAATGTAACATCACAAAAAGCTACAGTGAAAAGCCATGTCAATTTTTTCACATTATAGCACCTCCAAATATGCATGCATTTCTCTGACCAAAGATCCATTCTGAATCATAATAAAATGGAAAAAATTTAAATAATAATAATAATAATCATATATATATATATACATGTTTACATGAATAGTGCCTTGCCTAAAACTTTGCTCTGATATGTGTTTGGAAAATGGATGGTTGGATGAATGGATAGATGGATGGCTGGATACATGCATGTGTGGATGGATAAAGCTCCTGTCATGAACAGAGAGTATTATAGTCTACCTTATGCCTTCATTTTCTGTGACTGCATATCTATGTTTTGCAGCTTTTCATTGTGTGATAAACATATGCTCTCGCGCTGTCATGCCATCTATCCTGCATCTACCTTCTATCAACAATTATCTAACATCTGTTCGCCCAAAATACTATGAAAACAAGTTTAAATATTTAAACTAATAATCAATGTTAGTATGTCTATTTCTGTGGGTGGCATAGTGGCGTAGTTATCATATTTTTAGGGATAATTTACAATTTTTATCCCTCTTAAAAAAGAATATAAAAATATTAATTATGGTGATAATAATCACATCGATTTATCTTTGGACTTTGGACTTTTTTGCTACTAGTACGGCGTAAGTAAACGAATGAGAATCTTTACATTTGTAACGTAAGGTGCATCAGAAGTTAGAGGGTGCTGTGTAAGGATATCTTGAATTATTTGTACCAAAGTACTGAATTTTAAGCATCCTGGTATCTTTTTTCCCAAAAAACACTGGTCTCCACACGCCTCCAAATTGTTGCTGTTATTGTCACAAGTTCATGTCCTGAACCAAACCATGACCAATCGATGAGAGAGATATATATTACATTGTGGGGACCAAATGTCCCTGCAATGTGATGAAAGCCTGACATAGAGGGGGGCACTTTTTCGGTCACCACAAGAGGAAACTCATTTCTATAAAAATCTGTCACTGTAATCAAAAAAGGAAAAATGCCAAGTCTTGTACTTTGTTTGGTGACTTATAATTAAGATTTATGGCTTTAAGGTTGTCATAGTTGGGATTACAGTTTTGCTTGTAGAAATGAATGGATAGTCCCCACAAAGATATGAATACATACGCAAGTGTGTGTGTGTATTTAGTTCCTAAGGCCACAAGGGTTTCATTTCCATTATAAGACAGTCAGCCTGTCCATCCACTCATTTTCTGTAATAGTTTGTCCTATTCAGGGTGGCAGGGGTCCAGAGTTTATCTATGGGTATAAAGCAGAGAATAACCCAGGATTGGGTGCCCCTCCATTGCAGGGAGGACACATAGCAGTTCGGGTGAATGCCCGTGGTGTGTGTGTGTCTGTGTGTGCGCCCTCTGGTGGACTGACATCCCATCCAAGGTGTATCCCAGCCTTGTGTCCTGTGCTGTATGGGATAGTGACCCTGACTAGGATAAGCAAGACAAATGGATCAATATTTCTTATTCTAAGTACACAGTTCAATAATTATGAATAATAGAATCTGTTCAGTGAAAGAAAGGTAACACAAATCACAGGGAAAATATGACATGCCTGGACTGAGAAGGATTCTCCATTCTGGATGTAGACCCTCTGATGATTGGTTAGGCCAGAATTCATCAGAAAGGAAATGGTCTTTATAGCTAACGGCAAAGATCCCTGTCCGTGTGCCTGAGATACATGTTAGCTCTATTGCTTTAGCACCTTTAGCAATTCAACATTAATGATCAACTGAATCATGCAAGGACATTGCGGATTTTTCAGCACCAGGGTGCTCCTCTGTCTTTGAGCTGATTACAAAAACTGTCTAAGCTGTCAGCATCAACCACACCTAGCAAATCCATAATTCTCCAAGGAGATGGATATTAACTTTTCATTTTCCCCTTTGTAAACACTGTCAAATATTCAACATAATCGATTTATTAGCTGGGGATGTTGTTTCTCCAATGCAAGGTGTGAACTTTGGCTTATTATGTTTTATCTTCTGGAGAATTCCTTCTTCAGTTGAGATTGTCAGTAAGAGAACAGCGTGTATCTCGAAGTTTATTTGAAGATTCACAGGAGACCGGCTTGACATCAAAGCAGGACTTGGCAACTGACGGACAGTCATTGCTGATTTTCAGCGTTTTTTTCTGAGACCGGAGTCAATTTTTCACCCTTTCAGAACACAGAGACGGTACCAACCTAAAGCTTTCAAAGAATCCCACATGACTAAAGAATGAGGGAATCACAGCGGCCTTCGCAGTATGATGAAGTCTAACATCATCACCCTTCCTTCAGATCGATATGACAAAACAAAGAAAGGTGTTTCCCAATATTTGCCTTGCAGTCATTCAAAGTTAAAACACGTAAGTTATTTAATATCACCATAAAACAATCCCATAGAATATCTGATGAAATATGCCTGATTAGCTGTTTTATATATTAAACAGATTGTGATTCCTGCCTAATATGAATACATTGCCTTACTGTAAGTATATGACAGGGATATAGGGATGGGAGAGTTTTTAATGCATCACGCAGTCGGGATTAAATCGTGTGTCAGTCTGTCTGTTTTGAAAGCACTGAAATTCAGCTTATTCTTGTCTGCCAGTAGTATTTTTTTGGAAATGAATAATTTATTAAAATATGGGTCATTCTCATGAACTTCAGAATTGAAAAAAAAAAAAGTTTAAATAAAACAATACTTTTTGTGCAGAGCAACTGACTTTACCGTAATGTTTTAAGTATATAAAAATTGTGTCATTTGTTACTCTAATTTGATGATTTTTAATCATTTTGCCAAAGAGTAGCCAAAAATCAAAGAACCAGATAAACCGTTCCTAAATCTTTCAACTTCAATACATTTAGTCCACAATAAACAATCAATTCCTATAATAAGGTTTTGCTCAGTTTTTGGTTAGTTTTGCCATTTTTCATCTCACCTCTGTAACTGTTGTCTTGAATTTGATGAATTACTTTTGTTAATTGCAGAAATAAATGGTAATGATTAAGTACCCCAGAGGTAAAATTGTCGGTTTAAACAATGAAGTTGTATAATTTGAGTCTGCAAACTATTTTGGAAAATCAGAGAAAATGAATATGTTACAGTAATGAGCTGATGAAAATGACCCATATACTCCCCTTTATATTAACTGTATATCAATTTTGGGGATTAAATGCACAAATCATGGGGTGGCAGTGTTGCAGTGCTTAGCACTGTAGCCTCACACCTCTGGGACCAGGGTTCGAGTCTCCACCATGGCTCCATGTGTGTGGAGTTTGCAGGTCATCCCTGTGTCACTGGGGGTTTGTCCTCACTATCCAACATGCTAAGGTAAATTGGAGTGCTGAACCCTTCCTTACACCCATAGGTTCCAGACCCCCCAGAACCCCGGATAGATGTGTAAATATTTATGTTTGTAAGTTTAAATGTTAGGTATGATTAATTACAATCATGGAAAACTATGATTAATATATTTTTTAATCGATTCACAGCCCTAGTTATTAACACTCAAAGCTTAAGATGTTCAGTATGCATTAATTGTGCCAAAAGTCCTTTAATAATTACAGTCAGTACATGGAATATTCTTTATCTGTTCTTTCATTCCCGGTGTTGCTGTCAAAAGTGTCGCAGTATGAAGCTGCTCCTTCTTAAAAAAAAGCTATAAACCTGCTCACTTAAATGTTCAGGGCAATTGATGTGATCCACATGCTCCATAATCTACATCACAGCCTTGCACATATGTGTGGCATAAATTGATCACAGCTGACACTTTTATCTAAAGTGCTTTATGATTTTTTTCCCCAGGTATACAGTTGGACGTGTTACTGAAGTAATTCAGGCTAAATACCTTGCTTGCTTGAGGGTATCAGTAATGCTATCCTGGGACTCAAACCAGCAGCCTTTGGATTTAAATTCCATAACTTTTACTACTACGCTACCTGCGGCTTGT